AGAGCAGGCTTGAAAGGGCAGAGTAGAAGAGAAGATGGAGTTCAAGTTTAGCACGTGTTGACCTTGTGATGCTGGTGGGTGAAGACTGGGAAATAAGGGAAGGAAAGTATCAAACAGGCTACTGGAAACATGGATTTGGAGCTCAGAAGGTTAATACTAGACAAGTAGTTCAGAGAGTCATTCCCTTGAAGGTGTGGAAATGGGTGAAGTCTGTGGAGTTAATGAGCAGAGAAGAAACCTAGGCAAAAACTGCAGGCTGAATGGGGACAACTCTATGTAGACCAAATTGTCTTCAGAGAAATACAGAACTGAGGAAAGAAAGTCATACTTAATAATGCCAAGAACTGTACTCTGGGTATTCCACATTTGTTTTCTCAGTAAGTCCTCTCAATAATATGCCCTTGTATTTTATGAAGAAATACAGAGTAACATAAGAAGTGGTACAGAGTAACTTAAGAAGTGGTACAGACCAGATTTGAACTCAAGCCTTCTTCCTTCCAATTACTATAGCACATTGCTTCTAAGACAGCATCATACTTCAGGACAGAAAACCAGACACCACAACCCCATACCTTCAAGTCAAGTCCAAGTCATAGTGGCCTTCTAGGACAGAGTAGAATTTTCCCATAGGGTTTCCAAGGCTGTAATCTTTATAGAAGCCGACTACCACATCTTTCTCCTCCATATAGCAACTGATGGATTTAAACTACCAACCTTTCAATTAGCAGCCAAGCACTTAACCACTGTGCCACCAAATCTCCTGATCAAGACAGAAAGAAATGGTTAATATTTATAGTAATAATACATGACACTCTTGAGTTTGTGCTTGCTATATGCCAGATACCATTAAGCTCTTTACCTGGATTTTCCCATTTAATCTTCACAACATTTTGAGATCAGTATTATTGTTCCGTCATCTCCCGTTTTGCAGATAAGGAAGCTGGGCATAGAGAGAGGTTTATTTAAGGTTGCATACATATTAAGTGGTAGAATTGTTGAAAGTTGTAGAAAGGTTAAGTAGGATGTGTAGGAGGTTATTGATTGACACCTCCGTTGGTCATGTTATCAGAAGGGACCATTCACTGAAGAAGGATGTCATGCTTGGTAAGGTGGAGGGTCAATGAAAGAGGGGAAGGCCCTCAACAAGATGGATTGACACAGTAGCAGCAGCAATGGGCTCAAGTATAGCAGGGATCGTGGAGCTGATGCAGGACTTGGCGGTGTTTCGTTCTGCTGTGCATAGGGTCACTATGAGTCAGAGACAACTTGACGGCACCTAACAACAAGGAGATTATTGTTGACAGATTTTTCAGTGGTGATGTGGAGTGAAAATAGTAGCTAACATTTATTGAGCATTTGCTATGTTCTAAGTTCAATTAAATTTCATTTATTACCCTTAATTTATAAATGATGAAACTGAGGCACACATTAAGTTATTTAACTTAGTAAGAAACAGACCTAGGATTTAATAAAGGTAGGTTAGTTTTGGAACCCATGCTCTTTGGCAAACAGTCTGGTGGGCCATATCTGGCTTGCTACTTGTTTTGTAAATAAAGCTTTATTAGAACACAGCCACTCTAATCCATTTATATGTTGTTTATGGCTGCTTTCATGCCATAATAGCAGAGTGTAGTTGCAACAGACTGTATGGCCTAAAAAGCCTAAAATATTTGCTATCTGGACCTTTACAGGAAAAGTTTCCCATTAAGCTGGGAGAAAAGACAAGTCTTGGTGAATTCAGGATTAACTTGGGAGGTAAGGCAATATATGCCATGGAAAGGGCCTTTTTATACAAATCTGACATTGAAAAAATGAATGGGTGGTACCTTTAGTAAGACTTAAGATAAAATGAAAATTCTTGTTTTTGCATAGCAAAGGATTGCATATATTAAAAGAGTAAAAATAGGATATCATTTGAGTGGGAGATTGTGAAGCTTTAAAGGAGAAGTAAAGGTAGTATAGGATTTTTGGAGAATGTAGGAGGAGATGGGAAGATTTATTATTGGAAAGGAGCCAGAGACTTTTCTTTGAAACACTGAACAGGAGCAAAATGAAGAAAGGATGTTAGGAATACGAAGGCATAAAGGCATGGGAGTAAGAGGAAATTTCATTGGATGGCTGTACTAACATTCACATAGGGATGAAGATAAGAAAGAGGCAATGATTTGAAAACATCTTTTTACTATTTACAATTATTGCAATTATTTTTGTGTTTCCCAGTTTTGGTTAGTGCCTTGAAAAAGTGTATTTATAAGAAAGAAAGGATAACTATACAATTTCAATTAGGGTTATTTAATAAAGTGCTTTTTTTCTTGACACCCAATAAGCTACATATTTAAAATGTACAATGTGATAAATTTTGAATATTCATACTTATGTGGAACCATAAGCACAATCAAGATAATGCACCCACTTTGTAATCTCACCCTTCTGTGTGTCCTTGCCCCCACTTTGCAGAACAGTGTATTTTCGTTTTCATTCACTTCCAAAGAGTTCTAGTTTATCTTTGACTTTTTCTTTGATATATTATTGAAGTATAGTATTATTGGGTTATTGAAAGGTATATCTTTGGTTTCCAGATATCTGGGATTTTCTAGGGATCTGTCTGTTATTGATTCCTGTTTTCATGTGGTCACAGACTATATTTTGCCTACTTTTAGATTCATCAGGACTTGTTTTATGGCCCATAATATTGTGTATCTTGGTAAATGTTCAGCATGTACTTGAATGTGTATTTTGCTGTTGTTTGGTGGAATATTCTATAAATGTTGATCTGGTCAAGGTGGTTGATCATGTCGTTCAAGTATTCCATACCCTTGCTGATTTTCTCTCTACTTGTTAAGTCAGTTATTGAGAGAAGTTATTGAAATATCTGGCTATAATAGCAAATTTTTATTTCTCATTGCAGTTATGTCAGCTTTTTGCTTCATCCATTATGAAGCTCTGTTTATTAAGTGCCTAAATGTATAGGGGAGCCCTGGTAGCACAGTGGTTAAGTACTCGACTCCTAACTGAAAGTTTGGCAGTTCAAACTCTCCAGCACTTCTGCGGAAGAAAGATGTGATAGTCTGCTTCCATGAGATTTGCAGCCTTGGAAGTCCTACAGGGTCATTACGAGTTGGAATTGACTCTATGGCAGTGGGAACGTGTAAATGTATAGGGTTGTTATGTCCTCTTGATGAATCAACTGCTTCCTCATTATGAAATGACCTCCTTTATCCTGGATAATACTTTTTTTTGCTCAGAAATATGCTATGTGATACTGAGCATTAAGCAGTGGCACTTGTAGAGCTACCTCAGTTGTTTGTTGTCTGTCAGAGATCACTATCCTTTGTTGCCTAATGTGTAATATATTGAAAACTGTTGTTTCTTGTATTTTGTATACAGGTTTTGAAAATGTTTTTATTGTCATAAAATATATATATATATATAATACATCTGCCAATTCAACTTTTTTTTTTTTCAAATTTAGTGACATTATTTGTGTGAACCATGTGCGCAACCATCATCCATACTCATTGGCAAATCTCCCATTGCCATAAACAGAAACTCAATGCTTCCTAAACAATGACTTTGTCTTTCCCTCTCCATCCTGCCCTTGGTAACTACTAACAGACTTTGTTGTTGTTGTTGTTATATGCCGTCGAGTCAGACCCGACTCATAGCGACCCCTCCTTGGGTTTCCGAGGCAGTATCACTACGGAAGTAGATTGCCCCATCTTCCTTCTGAGGACTTTAGTCTTTCTAAATATTTGTCTATTCTTGTTATTTCATATAAGTGAAACATTAAATTTTTGCCCTTTTGTGATTACCTTTATTTCACTCAGCATGACGTGTTTAAGGTTCATCCATGTTATAGAATGAATCAGGACTTCTCTTTATGGCTGAATAGTAGTCTATGTGTAGTATTTACCATTTCCTCATTCATTCATTGCTTACATCTTTTGGCTGTTGTCAATAGAGGTGTTTTGTTTTGTTTTTTGTTTTGTTTTAAGTTGTTTCATGTGGGAATGTTATCCTAATCCTCATTTCTCTGTCTTGGCCAGAACAGAAGTCCTAGAGTTTTGTAAAAGAATTATTTGCAGTGATTCTTATTTTTTTGTTTGTATTAGGGTTACTTATGAGAAACCAATGAAATGTATAGACTTTAGCTTCTAATATCTACAAAGACATATACATAAAAAAATTTTGGTTGTTATTTCATAGGATTTACAGGCTTGAGGTTTAAATCTCTGCCCAGGATTTGTTGCTTTCAAATAGGGGATTTTCAACCCTAGTTGTATATTAAAGTCACCTGGGAGAGCTTCTGAAAAAATATCCATGCTCATCATAAACATATGAGAGCTGAATCTTTGCTTGGGGTGGCCCAGACTTCCTTGGTTTTTGAAATTCCCTAGATAGATCTAATGTGCATTCAAGGTTAAGAGCAGTTTTGTTGTAGAGCAAAGAATGGTTTCTTCTCTACTTGGTTTCTCCCCATTCCCTTTATTCACTGCAGCGTCTGGTGTGTTCTATGATATACTTTGTTACAGCTTTTATGCTAAGTCACATGTATATATGAATTCAGTTATTGGTAATTCGTAGTAAAAGATGTACTTCGTATTGTACTTAAGTGAGCCTTAATGTGTTTAGCTGTTTTAAAAAATTTCCAGAAAGCAATAAGGGAGAGAAAATGGCCTAGAACACTACTATGAGAACAGTTTGGTGTAACATGTACTCAGGGACTCCAAGACCAATTGATTTCACATTGACTCACTTTTTTCAATGGAGTAGTTACTCTGGAATGACAAATACTTTTTTATTCAAGCTGTTTCCTTTGTGTGATTTCCTTAATAAAGAACTTGAATGTGTTATCCATTTTATATATTAGACTTTCCAGTTTCTGAATCTTACAGTGCTTCTTAAAGGAAAATGTTACTTTTAGAGTAACAAATGACTTTGTATAAATCTAGTTTGAAATATTTTCTTCCTCATTTATTGTAACCAACCTTTTCCTATAGCTGTGAACTTCACAGAAGTTAATGAAGAAAACAAAAACGATCTTTTCCGAGAAGTGTTTTCTTCCATTGAAACATTGGCTTTCACGTTTGGGAATATGTAAGTAGAGAACTGTCATTTAAATATTTGGACATAGGTGTCTTAGTGAGAGTATATTACAAAATTCAGTAAGATATGTGGAAAATAGAATATTAAATAGTATAAAAATTTTTCACAATTTGGTAAAACTGCACATTCTGTATTTCTTCATTACTACCTTTAAAGGTGTCTTTATAGTTGTATAGGATCCTAGGGTTGAAAAGGTTGAAAGTTCAAGTGCCTTAGGAGGAAGGCCTGGCAGTCTACTTCTGAAAATCAGCCACTAACCTTGTGGAGCACAGCTCTGCTCTGATACACATGGGGTGGCCATGGGTCAGAGTTGACTTGACAACTGGTTTATAAGCTATTTAAAAGCAACATCCATTTACAAGTGATTATGGTGTGGTTTACGTGAATAGGAGTTCTGCACCACCACCCCCTCCCCCGGCACCCAAGAGTTTCACATAAAAAGAAATTATCCTAGGTGACATGTTAAATACAAAATTTATGACAAAGCAATGTAATGACTTCTCTTTTCTTTTCTTTTCTTTTTTTTTTTTTTGATCTCCTTGCATAGCCTTACAAACTTCCTTATGGGAGATGTAGGCAATGATGCATTATTGCGACTGCCTGTGTCTCGGGACAGTAAGGTAGGCTAAGTTTGTGTGGAAGCAGACTTTAGTATCTTTAACTTAATATTCTAATCACTTCCTAATACCAATTTTAACATTACTTTTTGATAATTTGTGTCTTACGTAATGAATCTATATGTCTTATAGTTCAAATTTTAGTAATTATTAGCCATTTTTCCCTTCTGACACTGTCACAGATCTTAAAGACTGGTGAAAACCTAGAAAAATAATGTAAGAAGAGAGGGTTAATCTTTCCACACATTGTGTGAAAAGAAGTTAATATTTGTTAGTATGAAATACTTGTTGACAGCCTTCTTGTTGTTGTTGTTATGTGCCATCAAGTCAGCCCCAACTCCTAGCGCATCTTCCTTGGGTTTCCGAGGCTGTATCACTACGGAAGCAGATTGCCCCATCTTCCTTCCGAGGAGTGGCTGGTAGGTTTGAACCACCAGTCTTCTGATTAGCAGTCAAGTGCCTTAGGTATTAATGCTACCACAGCTTAGTAGGTCTTAATTCTCCTACCTAAAGAACATCCCTAAAAGCATGTCACAAGGTCAGGCTTCTGATTACCAACTGGAAGAAAAATTGCTATGGAAAAATCGAGCATGAGAAATGTATGTAGAATATTGTTTTAAAGATTCAGAGAAGTAGTAATATTTCAGTTAACTAGATTCTTCCACTGAACAAACTGCAATAGGGAGCATATGTTGATCATTTCCTATTAAGAATGGTGAAATAGAAGAAGGATTTCAGCAAATATTTGGAAATGTGCCAGGCACTTGTACTTTATCAACATAATAATCCAAAAGCTTGAGACCTTTTTAATTTTTTTTAATGATTTAAAATGTGAACAACTGCTTAGAGAATTTGTTATATGTATTATAATATGTGAACAATTATGATTATTTCTGAAGCTATCCCTTGATGAGTCAAAGGGCTAATATATAAACCATTATCAGTTTTAAGATCTCTATGTATTTTGTAATTATTCATGATTCTTCCTTAATTTTTTTCCTCAAACTGTTACTGCTACTTCAGAAAATATAAACCAGTATTTTATCTTTGTGGCAAGACTCTGAACAATTTATATTTTAGGTATAAATCATATTTCCTGTCCCTATGCCTTTATTGTAGAGAGCTCTGGTAGCATAGTGCCTAAGGCATTTGATTGCTAACCAGAAGGCTGGTGGTTCAAACCCCCCAGCCACTTCTCAGAAGGAAGGTTGGGCAATCTACTTCCGTAGTGATACTGCCTCAGAAACCTAAGGAGTGGTAGCTATGAGTCAGGTCCGACTTGACAGTACATAACAACAACAACATGCCTTTGTCGTATACACGTTATACTAATCTCAACAGGAAATTTTTTCTCCTTTCTTTATGCTTTTGCACCTTGATTTCCTTTTGTTTTTATTTCACCCTAGAGGTTGGAATGAAAAAGCCAATGTTAATATAGTTTGAATAAAATAGTTACTACATTTGATGAAGAGTTTTATAAGATATCCTTTAGAAGTAATAGCTGCCAGTTATTTCATAGTGCTCACTATGTACCATGCACTATGCTAAGCCTATGACATCTTAATTCTTAAAACAGCCTTATGAAGATAGTGTTCTTATCTCCATTTTACAGAAGAGCAAACCAAAGTTTAAGTGAGCTTAAATAAGTAATCAGTGTCAAGTGGTAGAGCTGGACTTCAAATCTCAATCTGTTTGATTCCTTTTACATTGAGTCACTGCATACCTCATATTGCCCAACGTAGATAAATTTCTTTAAGATCTCACAGTCATGATAGATGGTGGATATCTGTACTGTCCGGTAAGACAGCCACTAAGCACTTGTAGCTCTTTAAATTTTAATTAATTCAAATAAAAAATTCACTTCTCATTCATACTAGCTACTTTCAAATGTCCAGTAGCTCTATGTAGCTAATAGCTACTGTATGTATTAGACGGTACAGATACAGAACATTTCTGTCACCACAGAAAATTCTGTGCTAAGCTATCTAGTGGGAGCTCTGGTAGCATAGTGCCTAAGGCACTTGACTACTAACCGGAAGGCTGGCAGTTCAAACTC